AGGACAAATCTGAACAGGCAGGCTATCAATACTCTAAACAAATAAGAACAGCTAAGCTCCTCCACACAAAGGAGGTGCTTCCAAAGGTGCTTCTCCCAAGAGACGTTATTGGGGTTTAGTTATTCACATTTATGTGTAACATGTATTTCTACCCTTGGAGTGAAATCCCAAGGATATTTGCTCAGAAGGCAATCCCATAGAGCTCGATAGGGCCTATCCCACTAATAAGTATGTTCAGGATTTTAGCCTTACAGTTCAGTTCAGAGCAGAATGGACCATTGAAGTCAATGGTCGTACATTAGTGTAACAATGAAGGATTGCACTGATAGACACCTAGATAATTTACATTCTATGAAGGAATTCTCCTTTGGAGAAATAGAACTGAGCCTTGAGTGTTCTGCCATTGTGCACCAAACTGACACTCAGGCTGCTTCCACATGGCTATTTTGGTTGGTCTTGACTACAAACCAGAGAAGTCTTTTTAGAGCATTCACCTAACAACATCCGGCCCTACAGGAGGCAGCCAATGGCATGCCTCCTGTAGGGCCGCCTTTGCCTCCTCGAAAGGAGGAAGGGGGAAGGGCTGCGGTGCAGCCTGGACTCCAAAAGGGGGAGCGGAGCCGGCGCTGCTTTTAATGGCCGACTCTACTCTACCCCTTCAGTGCCCGCCTTGTGCTCGGAAGCTGTAACAGTTCCAAGCACGTTTGGGTTGATGATTTGGCCTACCTTGGCGAGGCTGCGGCGACTGAGTCGAGTGCCAGGAGGGTAGACACGGTGGCGGGAGTGCGCGCCTGGGAAGGACGGTCCTGAGGTAGGTACCATCAGGCCAGTGAGGAGCATGGTCTGCGGCTGCAGCTGTGCAACATCAGGCCGTGCAGGCAGCCAGAGAGCGGGGACAGCCTGATCCTCAGGGTCGCGTTGGCGGCCTTGCTGTCAGGAGCTAGGCGCCATCGGCGACGGGCTTTTTGCAGCCGTGGCGGGGCCTCCTGCAGTAAGAGAGAGGCAGCCGTGGGAGAGCATCGGCGATGGCAGCAGGAGCGTGCTTCGGCAGTGACGTAGGGCTTGCGACAGCAGTGGGCCTCCAGGGTGGCATAAGGCCTCTGCAGCGGCAGGGAGCCTCTGACTGCTTAGAGGGCAGCTGCGGGCAGGAGGCATCAGTGGAAGCTTGCCCCAACGAGTTAAAACAAGATATACATGGGGGGGGGGAGAACCCTTTAGTAGTTAGTGGTGTTACTTACACACGTCCAGGGCTATTTTTGGGCAGGAACGCGCAGGAACAGAGTTCCGGCTGGCTCCCGAGTTGGCCACGCCCAGCAGGAACTCATTAGCATAATAGGCCACACCCAACAGCAGAAACTCATTAGGATTGGCTACATTAGAGGTGTGTGGCCTATCATGCAAAGGAGTTCCTGCTACAAAAAAAGCCCTAGGTTTTGACAACAAACAAGGTAAACAGAATAAGAAGCAAAAGGTGGGTGTGGCTGGATGACCACACTTCTGGTAACATGGGGGTGTGGCCTAATGGGCTAATGAGTTTCTGCTGTTGGGTGCGGCCTATTATGCTAATGGGTTCCTGCTGGGCTTTTTCTACAAAAAGAGCCCTGCACGTCACACCCCCACAGGCCCCTACTCATTACTGATCCTATCATCTACAGTGCAGTTGGTAAGGCTGCTGGGGCCCCAGTTCCCTTCCTTTGCTCCTGTAGGGCTGTTCCTCCTTCCCCTTACAATATTCTGGATGGGTGAAGGTTTAGTGGGGCGGCCATTTAGCTGAGGTGGCCATTTTGTGGGTTCTTCCAGGCTAGTTTGGTAGTGGCCATTTTGGGAAGGTCCCTGGGGTGGCCATTTTGATAGGGTCGTGAGGAGCGGCCATTTTAGACAGGCCTTGTGTGGTACCGAGGCAGCCATTTTCATAGTACTTTTAACATAATACAATAATATAATGGCTTCTCGGAAAGGCAAAGGGGGGCCAAAGGGCAAGGGGCCTGTGCCTAAGAGGCCCGTGCCAACACCCTCGCAGCAGGGAGCTGGGACTGTCCCGTCTTCATCCGATGATGAGGATGAACGGGCAGGGCAGCAAGCAATATTGGACAGGCTGGCTGCACTAGAGCTGAATGAAAGAGGTTTAGGGAGGAGGTGATTGAACATCTTTCTTTGATTGAATGCAGGCCTGCTGATGCTAGGCCTGATGCTGGAACTGATACCGGGGCAACTGGAGCAGCTGGTGTCAACACAGATGCAGCGCCGGTGGAAGTTGTGGAGGCTGAACAGCCGGGTCCCAGGGGTAAGTGGGATCCTGCATTGCAGTTTAGTCTGATGTTGCCACGGGGACCTTGGGGTCAGGGAGCTGGCTCTGGGGTTCCACCTGCCCCGCAGATGGACACTACACAAAGCTCTGCTGACACTGGTCAACCATGGGTTTGGGGCCCTCCTTCTCCGGCTATACAGTCCCCTTGGGGAGCAATTCCAGCTGGTCCTTGGGGTAGTTTGGGTTGTACCCCCTCTTGGGCGAACCCTTATGATGCTGCGTCAGCATCGGCGATGCACTTTGGGGATACTGCCTTACCTTTAGGTGATCATCTTTTACCCACAACTTGGGAGAAGATTTGTAATGGTGACTACATTGACCTCTTTAGCCTTCTATACCGGGATTTGGAGAAGAAGGAGATGGACGACAAGGATAAGGGAATCCTAAAGCGGAAGAAGGTTGACCTGATGTGGGCTGATTGGCTGGCAGGTTATTTAATTTATGCTGGCCTGTTATCCCAGTCTCAGCCATTGAGGTCCCCTGCATTGTTCCAGTATTTGGACATTATTTACAAAACCTATACTGGCTGCAGGTCATGTTAGACATCGCGGGATCCAGGGCTTTGGGGTTTATTTCTGTGGACATTGGTGCACGGAGGAATGGCCCGAGGACTTGATTTCTGCCGGGTTTACTAGGGACCTTGCAATGCTCCCTCTAAGCTGTGGAGTCTTGTGAGCAAAAATTCTACTTTGTGAGCTACTGGCATTAAAGTTGTGAGGAAGTGATTTGGCTACTACATAAATTAGTTTGCTCTGGAGCTATCCTTCCTGAGTTAAGACAAAAATGTCTGAGCCAGAGGCTAAAAACATGTGAGCTAGCTCACAGTAACTCAGCTAAGAGGGAACACTGGACCTGACATATTTGGAGTTCTTCCCCATTCTAGTGGCGGTTTGGCTATGGGGGAATGAGTTGGTGGATCATACAGTGCACTTCTGGTGCGATAATTTGGCAGTGGTCCACGTCATCAATTCCTTCACATCCAAATCACCTAGGGTGATGTGCTTGGTTCGCACATTTACGCTGTGATGCCTGCGGCTCAACACTC